CACTCGTCGTCGTCCCCACCCCCAGAAAAAGGAGGGCACACCCCACCTTCGGGGCTCGCTGGATTGGGGTGCCGGCTCTGCCCTCTCGCCCCGCCCGTCCCCCTTTACCTGCCGCCGGCCCGTCCGCGGCGGGGGCAGCGGGGCGTGGGGCGGTGGGTGGCGGTGGAGGCGGCGTGTGACAGATGTCCTCCTCTGACAGCGCTCGGTACCAGCCCAGTGGCTCCCTGCCATTGGCTCAGTGCAGCCGACCGGCAAGGCTGCTCGCTATAATAGCACTATGCCTGCCAGCGGCGGCGGCAGCTCGCTCGGCTCCGCCGCGGCCGCCCCGCCGCGCATCCTCCTCCCGCGGCCGCGCCGCGCCTGAGGGGCCGCACCCCCGGTCCCGGCCCTCCCCGCCCGGCCCCGCCGAGCCCGGCCTGAGGAGGCGGCCCCGGCCCCATGGAGTGCTACTACATTGTCATCAGCTCCGCGCACCTCAGCAACGGGCACTTTCGCAACATCAAGGGAGTTTTCCGCGGCCCCCTCAGCAAGAACGGGAACAAAACTCTGGTAAATGGCCTTCTTCCCTTGCCTCTCCCTTCCATCCTCCTCCTCCTCACAGCGGCGGCTCGGGCTAGCGGGGAGCCGGGGGCCACCCGCCCCGGCTTTGCCGCTGCGGGGATGCGGTGCCCTGGGCTCCCGCCCGCCGCCTCGCCGGGGCAGGTGCGGGATATCCTCGCAGAGCTGCCGGGGTGGGGCTGCCTGCGGAGGGAGAGCCCGGGGACCCTTCTGGGCGGGGAGCTGCAGGGCCGGGGCTCCGCAGCCCGGGCAGGTCGGGGAGAGGCGGCCGCCGCTTGGCTGAGGGGGTCCCTCGGCCGGGGGGACTCCTTGCCGTGTCCCCCTCCATGGCTCCTCGCCGTGTTGCCCCGGTGCGGGGACAGCCGGAGGTCCTGCCCGGGGAAGTGCAGGAAGGACCCGAAACTTGTTTACTTGCTTGTTCGAGCCCTTTGGGTAGAGAGATGCGTTTGCTCGAGCACAGTTTCGGAAATGGTACAGGTTTTTGTTTGTTAGCTGCCAAGTTTTTTTTTTAAAGGAAACCTCAGGGTTTGACAGGACGTGGTGGCTTTAGGTGGTTTGGGCTGGATGCTCCGGAAAGTGTGCTCAGGCTGCTCGAACTGTTTCTGTATTCATCCTCCATACTCAGATATCTTGACATCTATTGGGTTTCCGATGGTTTTGCTGACTTGCTTGGACTCGCTTCGTGCTGTTACTGAACTTTAATGGAAGAGTGACGACGCAGTAGCATTGGCAATACATGTGCTCTCCTGCTTGCTCAGATAAAAGGGATGTAGGATAACAGCAGGCTGGGCGAGCTGCATCACGTAACATCTCAATCACGGCACAACAAAGTGTGGACAGATGTCTGGAGAGGAGGATGGAGCTGAAAGAGGGGCTTAGCCACGTTGTTTATCTCTCTCTCCCATCACTGCCTTACTCCCAAATCCCCTTTGGAGGAGATGGAGCAGAACTTACCACATCCTTGTTCCCTCGAATGCACGACCTATATTGACGGGGAATTTACTAAAGTACTTAACGTTTGCTAGAGTTGGCAAGCTTGCAGTTTCTCCCTAAATAAAGAGATTAAAGCAAGTCTGAGCCAAGTCATAAAAATAGTAACTACTACGAGGGAATCTGAGGCAGATTTTTGGACTGTTTCAAATGTGAATTCCTGCTTTCACGTTGTGAATCTCTACGATTTTACTTGCTGTGGATCCTGCATATTTTTGCTGTTAGGGATTGCGTTCTTGGAATTTTAAACAAGCGTTGTGGTATCCATGAGATGGCAATATGTGTGTAACATTTTATTGTTACAGTTGCAAACCCAAGATCTACTGTAGAAATATTTGGTACACTTCAAATAATTGCATGATACATCACCTTCTTTCCACTGAACAATTTCAGTAAAGATGCATTTGGCAGGACTGAGAATGCTCTGATGTAACTTTTGGACTGTGTATCATCTTGCAGTTCATAATGGGTTCTGCTCCAGCAGCACTTTTTTTCTTTTTTTTTTTTTTTTTTCTTGTGACAAAAAAGCAGCCCTGTATTCTTAATATTCCTGATTGATTTATTTACTGGTGAAACATTAGTGACCAAAAAATTTATGTGTGGGCAGTGAGTAGTGGAACTGACAAAGTTCCTGCTGAGTTAAAAGCGAAGATGTTGGCTCTGCGGACAGCAAAATGAAGTCCTTCACTACAGAGTAAATGATATAGGTGCAGACATCAAGGCTTTTATCTCTGTTTGTGCTATTTTTAATTTATAGGAGCTAAAGATACTGTGGGATTGGGATACAGGGTGATTTGTGTAGCTTAGTGAGGGTTCTGAGGCAGTGGGGGACAAGTCAGTCCCTTTCAGTGGGAAGATCAGATGTTGCATTGTTTCAGGGGATCAGTCACTTTCACAACAAACAAACTTCCAGACTTAAAAAGATGAAAATATTTGTTAATACAAAGTAGAGTATGTTGTTAGAAGTTTCAATAAGAACACGGGCTTTTAGTATACTCTTGGTATCGGATATATAGGATAAGGCTGGGAGAAACAGCAATTTGTGAAGCTAAAAATCAGAAATTTTGAGCTGCTCTGACTCAGGCATATTTTCCTATTTTGCTTTAAGGTATTCATTGCCTCTTCATCTTCATGCTCCAAACTTCCTAAAATCACTGCTTCCTTTGTAAACTGAGAACCTGAAAACAACCTCTCCTCGTACATGGTGGAATTGCTGCTGTGAAAAATTTAGATTTTTTTAAGCTTTGATTCTCTTTCAGAGTTCTGCCACCACACTCTGCCTAGAAATGAAGATATGTGCTACAGTAGAATTTCACAGCAAGTAGGAAAGTGCTGGTTCTAGTCAAATGGTGAAGTTGTGCTTTCGAGATGATTTTATATGGTGTATCTTCAAACTTGGAGCTGATTAGGTTTCAAAGGAGGAAGCTCCTTAGATCTTTTGGCTACTGTCCTCTTCTGGAGTGACCTGCCATTCACCTGAAACTTGTCTTTTTCTGCCCTGCTCTTCAAGAGAGGTCACTGAAAAACATTTTCCCTGACTGATAGTCCCTGCAGGTGATCCTTACATTTTTGTCCTCTCTCTATTTCCTGTTTCACGCAGAGTTAGTCATTTAAAGCTTTATGAAGTTTGGCTTCAAAACTCCCAGAAGGTAAAGGGAAGAAAGAGTTACAAATCTTTTCTCACCTGGTAGGGGACATGAAGAACAAAGCTTTGTCCTTCTATAAAAGTCTTTCTCAGTGGAGAACATCAGAGAGTTACTTTTTGGTAGATAAGAGGGAATAAAACTGTTTCTGTTGCTTGGTTTCTAGGCATGGCCTTTCTCTAAGGCACAAATATCTGTAATGGCTTTGAGATGGGCTTATTTGGGTGATGGAGAGAAATGGCTGAGGGATAAAGATGTGAAATGAGAATGGGAAGGCCACAGTTTTGTTCCTCAAGGGAAGACATTTTGGGAAAACCTGAGCTCAGAGTGGAGAGCACAAGAGGGAACAAAGGAAAAGCTGGATTTAAGGACAAAGGAAAGGCTGGACTTAGATTAGCTGTGAAAAAAGGTTACTGTAAAGGCTTTTTAAATTAAATAAAATAAGGGGGAAAAATGCCTGTGAATGAACCTTTAGTGAGATGATGGTGGGAAATGAAGGAATGTGTACTTACATACAGTTCTGGGTATCTGATAGCCCAATTTTGCACAGTACCCAGTGTCTGTGCTCCCCCCTTGGGTAACTGGTTGGGTAGGGCCCTCTTACCCAGTTGTAATCTGCCGCTCCTCATCAGGAAGATAAATATGAGCAATGAATTGATGGGAAATGGGCTTAGCACTTGTGGAAGAACAACCTCAAAACTCAAAGTTACTTCAGAAGGTATATGGTTAAAAGAAATTGGTGGTATTTGGGCTGTCGGGTAAGACTTTGTCCTCTCCCCCTGCAGTTTGTGCTGTCTGAAATATCCCTCAGATATGCACAGTCTCATAAAGATAGTTAATCTGCTGTTGGAAGGCTCCGTGGCATCTCTTTGGAAGGGGAATTTTGTTGGTGTAGTGTCCAAGTGAACCAACTACTGCCTGCTCTTCGTGTGGCAGGTGTTTTTTGAACAAGAAAGTCAAAACTGACCAGTGGGTCAGTACTGTGCAACGATGTTACAAATTTCTAAGGCTCTTTCTGCATTTTTATGTGTGCCTTGGTATTTTAATCAATTAATATTGGCCCGATTGGTTGGCCATTTCTTGTCAGGGTTCATACTCGTTGACTTGGAAGCTTTTTCCTGAGGCTGTTCTTTTTAGCAGCAGCATTTTATAGAAGTTTGCTTGCTACAAGCTCTTTGTTTTGCCCAGAGATCTCCTGAACTTTTAATGCACTTACTGTGTTATTTTTTTCTGGCCTTATGCTATTGATGCCAAATTACAGTGGTCTTTCTTTGTAATTCATCTTCCTTGCTGTGGCTGCTGTCTTGCAGTTTATAATCTCAAAAAGTATTGAAACTTGTGTGAAAAAATAGCTCTCTGGAGAGAGAAATCAGTTGTTTGGAGTCACAACCACAGGTGATTTTTTTAAATCCTTAAAATGTCTTTCTGGATGTGAACCAAACCACTTTAAGGCATTATCCTAGTTAATAAGCACAATCTTTGGCTGGTCAGCAAGAGAACTGACTCTTTGTTTGGTCTCCTGAGTAGCTGGTATAGGGCTGGTGGGTGGATACCTGCTGTTTCACCCGGAGATATTGCACTAATGTAAGTGGTTCTGTACCTGTGTTGAGATTTACAGTGGTGGAGAAGTGGCCGTGCTGGGCTTCTTCACCTCTCTGAACTGGACAAACACATTTTCTCTGTTGGTGATCCTAACGAGGAAGGTGCTGTTACTTGGCCAAGGGGGTTTAGACCTCTCTGCGTTGTAAATTGCTACTGTAATTCTAGTTTGAAGTGTCTTGTTGGTACAGGTCAAAAGTAGGTAAGATAAAAAATTCCCTGGTAAGTGGTTGGTTAAAGGACCAAATGTACCAAACACCAGAATCTATTATTGTGTCTAGCAGTGACCTCTGTATATACATCTATGTGTAGGTTTATACTTTGTTTAAAAATATGTACACAGGGGCACTTGAGGGGTAGAGTATACACACACACACACACACACACATATATATATATATATATAAAACTTCTTTTAGAAGTCCTAAGGCATGCTTCTACTTTTATGAAAACTCTACAGAGTTCAAATACTGACATGCAAGTGCCTTCTGAATGTGCCATCTGTTGTTCAGGCTGTCTGTTGTCTTTAGCTCTTTTAAACGTTGTAGAATATTTTTGTATTTCCACATCAACTGAAGTAAATACGTTGGGGTGGACATAAAAAAATGTATTTTATGAGAATTCCTATTACAAATGTCAATACTCTACTACAGGAAGAAAGCAGTAAACTACCTGTAAAACAGCTTTCCTGATGAAGACTGCAGTTGTAACTCTGCACAATCAGGGTAAATGTCCACTGATTTCAAGCCATCTAGTACA